TTAATTAATTTACCTCTGTTAAGGAATCATAATATAGAAGTCAGTGGAAACTGTTGTAGCATGCCTGATGTTTTTCCTATATCAATTTGAAAACTTACTTACCAAAGAAGATTAAACATAGATTTAATTTAGGGAGACTACCTTAGTTAGGGGTTCTGTTGCTATCAAGAGACACCATGATCATGGCAATTCTTATAAAGGAAAACATTTAATTGGGTTGCTTACAGTTCAGAGGTTTAGTCCATTATCATCATGTGGGCATGGCAGCATGCAGGCAAACATGGTGCTGAGAAGGAGCTGAGAGTGGAGAAGGAGCTACATCTTGATCCTGCAGGCCACAGGATGTGGTCTGGGACAACGGACGTGGGCTTAAGCATGTATGAGACCTCAAGGCCCACCCCTACAGTAACACATTTTCTCCAACAAGGCTGTATCTATTGCAACAAGGCCATGCCTCCTAATAGTGCCACTGTGTGTGAGATTATGGGGGCCAATTACATTCATGCTATCACAGTGCCTAACCAGTTTGTATCATAGTCATTGCTTAGAGACTAGATCATTAGGATTTCTCCTTTGAATTATAAAGACTAACAGTCTTTAAAATAAAATTTAGCCCCATGTAGCCCTGGCTGGCCTGGAACTTGCTGTGTTTGTCAGGCTAGCCTGGAAGTCACAGAGATGTGCTTGCCTCTGTCTTCTGAGTGCTAGGATTAAAGGTGTACACAGCACTACATGTAGCTAATAAGACCATATATATATATATATATATATATATATATATATATATAATCTATACCAATGTGTATATATGAATAATATATAAAAGTAGAATGAATACCCCCCCCCTCTGTGTGTGTTGTGGAAAGCTGTCCTCCAGGCACAACATGTCTGCTGCTGTCTTGAAATCACAACAGTGTGGTAACTGCATGAGGTCCTCACAAGAGTTGGCCCCCAGTGGGAGAGCACATGCCAGCTGCTGATGTGCTGATGAGAAGGAGGTTCTGGCTTATCATTTCTTACTGATGGGGTGTGGTGAGGTGTAAGGAAAGAGAGTGCAATTATATGTGTTAAATAGCTCCCTCTGGTATCCAGAATTTTGGAACTCATGAAAAGAATTTAAAGAATTAAACATTGTTAAAAGAATTTAACAATGAAGAAGTAGAAAGTGAGGTAAAGTTGAAAGCAAGGGAATGAGGCATAAGGGAAATGGTGTGTGACACCCAGTTCACCAAGCTGGTTAGGGCTGTGTTTTCCTGATAGTTGGGAAGGAGGAAGTGGTTCTAGTATGGGTGTGTGGGAGTGTGTGTGGTCTTGCTAAACTCCATGGTGAGTTGTATGAGGTTAAAGAGGCTCTGGTGGATCTGGATTTGTAAATGCAGAAGTGATCAAGAGAGGATGAGAATAAAAAGACAAAAACAAAACAGAAAAAGGGCCAAGATTTGTATCAAGACAGCATATTTAGGAAAAAATAACAAGAAACCAAATTCAGTGCTTTTAAACCTCTGGAAGGCTTTTAAGCCCAAACAACAGTTCATTCACTACAGGAGTCAGAACAACAACAACAAAAACAAAAGAGGGGTGCAGGTAAAAAATGATTAGGGTTTCATAGACCTGGCTTGCCCTTTATAAAGAGGTCTCATTGTATATTGCTAACCTCTTTGAATGGCTTGCAGATTTAGAAAAGCATCTTAAATGTGTGCAGGTACACCTGAAGGAGCAAGGATGGGAAATCAGTGTGCACATGGTACAGGGCATAGCTGTGAGATCTTGGGAGTTTTGTAGTTGGGTAAGATGCAGTTGAAACTCTCCGGGCAGGCGTTGGTGGCCCATGCCTTTAATCCCAGCAGGTAGAGGTATGTGGGAACTCACTCTCTGTGAGTTCGAGGCCAACCTGGTCTCCAGAGTGAGTGCCAGGATAGGCTCCAAAGCTACACAGAGAAACCCTGTCTCTAAAAAACAAAACAAAAACCAACCAAACAAACAAAAAAAGATGCAGTTGAAACTCAACCAGATGACTGAGAAAACCTTGCAGGGGTGCATGCCTTTAGATATAAAAGTATCAGCTAGGAAGTTTAAATGCAGAAGGTGTGTTGTGTGGTGGTAGAGGGTCCTCAGAAGAAAAGATTTTGCTGGTCAGGGAGGACCATGAGGCTCCACAAACAATGCAGACTGTTGCAACTGCTGTTGATTTGTGCCATAACCACATGGGCAAATTACTTCTGAACAGATTGCACTCTTTGGTTGCAGACCATGGAGAAAGAAAGCTGAACAGGGGAGGGAAGCTCCTTCCCTGCTTTTGTAGTATCTGTCGGAAGGTGCTGTGCAGACTGCTGGAGAGAATTATTTAATAGTTCTGAGTCCTGTGTGTTACCCTACCAACATGTCAGGCATGATGTGCCCCTGCTATAATAGTACAACTATTATGGATGTAAACAAATATATTTTGATTGTATTTAAGGTCTGCTTCACAGGAAGGGACACACATTTAGTTTTGTAAGCCATGGTGAAAACTTGTGGCCAGGAAGGACACAGGCACCAGCAGGGAAGCAGTGAAGCTATTACTGTTGTTTTGCTAGGTGAATATGATGCAGCTGCCTCTGCTTCCAGAGTGCTGAGATTAAAGGTATGTGCCACCACTGCCCAGCTTCTTTGTTCTTAACAGTGCTGGGATTGAACATGAGGCCTCATGCATGCTTGGCAGGCATTCTACCACTGAGCCCACTGAGCTGTATTCCCAGGAGGCCAACCTTTTCTCCTTCAAGCCTATTAAAAAAAAAAAAAAAAAGAACAAAAACAAAATAAAAACCAAGAATGATTAATTTAAAAAGAAGTGTGTGGGGCTGGGCACAGTGGCTCAGGACTTAAATTCCAGCATTTGAGAGGCAGAGGCGAGTAAATCTCTTTGATTTATAGCCTATCCTGATCTGCATAGTGAGTTCCAGGACAGTCAGGGCTACATGGTGAAACCCTGTCTTGAAAATCTAAAACCAAACCAAATCAACTTGTCTATGGTGTGTGTCTGTGTGTGCACGCGTGCGTGCGTGCGTGCGTGTGTGTGTGTGTGTGTGTGTGTGTGTTTGTCCCATGTGTGCAGCTAGCTATCCATGGAGGCCAAAAGAGCATTGGATCCCCTAGAACTGAAGTTCCAGGTAGTGGTTAGCTGCTGGATGTAGGTGGGATGTGCTGGGAACTGAACTCTGGAAGAGCAGCAGTATTTTTTGTTTGTGTGTGTGTGTGTGTGTGTGTGTGTTTTGTTGTTGTTGTTTTTGTTTTGTTTTTTTGAGAAAGGGTTTCTCTATGTAGACCAGGATGACCTCGTTCTCGGAGATTCGCTTGCTTCTGCCTCCTGAATTCTTTAGGCTCAAAAATATTTCAACTGTTTTCTATTTTATTTATTTCAAAGTTAAGGGACTACAGAGATTGCTCAATGGTTAAGAACACTGCTACTCTAGCCAGGCAGTGGTGGCACACACCTTTAATCCCAGCATTCAGGAGGCAGAGGCAGGCAGATCTCTGAGTTCGAGACCAGCCTGGTCTACAGAGAGTGCCAGGACAGGCTCCAAAGCTACATAGAATTGGACACATGGGGTTTCACCAGAAAAGGTGTGTGTGTGTGAGAGAGAGAAATGGGATCATGTAAGTGCAATAAAAAAAAATGTCTAGGGACTGGGTAGATGGCTTTGTGGCTAAAGTACTTGATGTACAAGCATGAGGACCTGAGTTTCGATTCTCAGAACCCAGCATGCCTATAATCCCAGCGCTTGGGAGGCAGAGGCAGGCGGATCTCTGTGAGTTTGAGGCTAATCTGGTCTACAGAGTGAGTTCCAGGACAGGCTCCAAAACAATACAGAGAAACCCTGTCTCGAAAAACCAAAACCAAACCAAACCAAAACAAAACAGAACCATAAAATCCAGATGAGGTAATGTATGTCTGCAATTCCAGTGCTCCTACAGGAAAATAGGGAAGTGGAGACTGGACAGTCCCTAGAAACTTGGTGGCCAGTTAGCCTGGAGTACAAAGCAGTGAACAAGAAACCCTGTCTCATATAAGGTGGACCAATCAATACCTGAGTTGTCTTTTGACCTCCACACTTGCCTTTGTGGCACACAAAGGCTTGTACTCATAACCCATACAAAGATAAGAGAAAAAAAAGTGAAATTATTTTCCGTGCTTTGGTTTTACAAAAAATAATTTGGTCAACTTAAAGAAGTAAATGTCATTGACCATATACACTTAGATAATAAAATTGGTTTCTCTGGAAATTCCAACCCCAATACTACAATTCTTCTTGTGTACTAGGGTTGTTAATTTTAATAAATTTAGATAGGATCCTTCCCTCCCTCCTTTCATTCCACCTTCCCTCCCTTCCTCCCTCCCTTTTTCCTTCCTTCTTTTCTTTCTTGACAGCTTAGGCTAACCTCAAACCATCTATGTTACCATGGTGGGCCTTGAATTCCTAATCTTCACCTCATTTATTATGACAGTGTGCCTCACTGTGTCTGGTTGTCATTAAAGAAAACTTCGAAGCCAGCTGTGTCTAGAGTCTAAAAATTTAAAAAGCAATGTATTTTTATTATGAAGAATCAAATGAAAGAAAATTTTATATATAATTCTATGACCAAAAGATAATTAAATTGGTTAAAGTCATATTTCAAGAGAATAAATAAAAATAAATGTGCTTTAAAATATCTTCATATTGATTATTTTATTATATGAGCGTTTTGTCTTCATGTATATATGTGCATCATGGGCATGCCTGTTGCCCACGGAAGTCAGTTCCTGGACCTGGAGTTACCAATGATGTGAACAGTATGTAGATGCTGAGCCTGGGTCCTTTGTAAGGATAGCAAGTGTTTTTAACCTCTCAGCTGTCTCCCCAGTTGCCTATGCTTAGCTTATTTTAATTGTAAACCTAATTGAGTTTTAAAGTCAGAAAACTTATTAAACTTTGTTTTAACTTCTTATAATGTTTTTTCTTTTCTCATAATTTTAAAAACAGGAGACTCTTCAGAATGAAAAGGAGGCATTAATAAAGCAACATAAAGAAGCAATGGGAGTTTTTAAAAATCAGGTGATTTTCATGATGGACTAACACTGCAATTTAAAACTTTCTATTTTTTTCTCTCTGCAGTACTATGACAAACTATTCTTTGCACACAGAAAGCAAAAGTGAGAGTGTTATGGAAAACAGGAAATAAAATGTTTATTTATAACTCACGGTAGTGTAGAGAAATTTGGAAAAAATGCTTTTTTGGTGATGTAGATATATCTGTCCTAAATAATTTTGATATGTGTTCATTCACCCTCTTTCTTTTGTAAAAGTATGCTATTATCTTACCTTCCCCATACAGCCTCTTTAATGAAGTCAGTCTGTTGAACCATGCATGGTTGATGGGTCAACTCACTAGTAACTAAAAACATTAAGAGGGAGATGTGAAGCCAGGCAGGGGGGCACACGTCTATAATCCCAGCACTCTGGAGGCAGAAGCAAATGGATTTCTGTGAGTTGAAGGCCAGCCTGGTCTATATTTTGAGTTCTGGGACAGCTGGAATAAGGATTCGTAAAGAGACTTTGTCTCAAAACCACCCCCAACGCCACCACCACCGCCACCAACCCCCCCCAAAAAACCCAAAACAAACAAACAAAAAAACCAACAAAAATATAAAACCCAAAAGAAAGAAGGTGTGAAGGAGGGAAAAGAGAGGTAATCCTTATTTGCTCTCTGCTGAAGCCTCCATGAATAGCAGCAACCAGTAACTGAAAAATAAAGAAAACAAAACTAAACCATTTTGAAGAAATAAAGGCTATACCTTCATTAATTTGATTTCTATCATCTTTGACTTTCTCAGATTCATCTCTGCTTCTTAGAAAACATTAGCTTAGGAAAACATGCCCAGATACAATATCCTCTAGAATTTTTTCTTTATACCCACCCTTTTCATTTTTTCTTCCCTCTTTATCACTGTGTGGCATTCACAGCCCTGTGTTTATTTTTAAGTAAAGAACTATTGAATGTAAATGAATAGTGTGGGAAAGAGATAGAGACGTCTCAAAGAAAAAGTATTGACTATTTTGCTAAAGCCCTTAATGCTGCTTAGGATATTTTATTTTCTCTTTGGCATATTTACTTTCATCTTGCTGTTTTAAAGTGACATTTTTAAGATAATAAAAAGGTCATTTTTATTTCATTATCATAAGTATTTAATCAACCTCAGAATATAAGTACTGCTCATGTGAATACAAATGATGTGATTTCATAAAATTATACTTTTAGGAAATGATAGATGCTATTGCTTAGAAGTAGATAGTAAAATATTTAGACATTTAAGATTTCTGGAGAGTTAAACCAGACTTCAAAGGAATTATTGGTGTTTAAATGTGATTTAGCTATTTATGTGCTTCAGTGATTGCCTCTCCTTTGCTTTCATATATTTATATTTCTGAATGTGAGGACATGTTAGAATTGTATAAATTCAATATAGAAGTATAAAATGCTTGGTATTGTTACTGATCAGCAGAAATCACTAGTTTACTTACCTGTGTTTTAAACTTACCAGCTGCAAATGAAGATGTATGCCTTGGAAGAAGAAAAGGTAGCTATTAATTTTTAAAATATGTTAAATAAATTTATCATCTCTGTTCACTATAATAGAAATGAGTGTCATTAATAAAATAATGGAGAACATTGATTGATTAAAATCTTACCAGCAGAAAGAACCTGAGGTCATCATGTTACTTGACTTTGATTTTATAATTGAGAATATTCAAGCCTAACAGATAGGATGACTTTACATGGTAAAACTGGGGCTAGAATTCAGGCTTGAATTTTCAGCTCCCAGATTAATGTTCATTCCTCCTGCTGCAGTGCTCCCTTCTACGAGTCATCCCATACTCTGGTGCAATGGCTCTCAACCTGCGGGTCAGGCGTCTTTGGAGACCACACAGCAGAGATCCTGCATATCAGATATTTTACACTGCTATTCATAACAGTAGCAAAATTACAGTTATCAAGTAGCACTGAAAATAATTTTATGCTTGGGGGTCACACAGCATGAGGAACTGTATTAAAGGGTCACAACATTAGGAAGGTTGAGAACTACTGCTCTAGTGCCTTTTCAGTGTGAGCACCTGCTTTAAATGTAAAACTCTTGAGATGATTTGTATCTGGTTGCCAGCTAACTGAGAGAGGAGTCATGACTTCTAACAAAACAAGAAACTTACCTGACACTAAATATTTTCTTATGCTAACAGTTAACATGTTTTATGCCAATTATGCCAATGAACATAGAATTTACAAGATTAATTTATACACATACTCTTTAAGCAAAAGACTTTTAAGGAAAACTCTCCCTTATTCTTATATTCATAATATAAATATACCTACATAATTAATTAGAATATATTTGCCCCTCTGCATCCACAGTTTTGTAGGCATGGTTCAATTTTAATTAAAAATACTAGTTAAGAAAAATTGCTTCTTTGATAGATATATAGATCTTATTCATGACATCATCTCATAAACTGGTGTTTTATAACAACTACTTATATAGAATTTATATTGTAGTAAGTATTATAAATAATCTGGAGATATTGAAGTATATAAGAAAATGTGTGCAGGTTATGTGCAAACACTATGTCATTTTATATAAACAGGTTCAGCATCCTTAGATTTTGGTATTTATAGAGGGACTCCTAGACTTTGTTCCTTATAAATTGTGAGAGATGATTTTATATGTAAGAATTTAATAACAATATAGTGTCTATAAGTTCTCTTAGAAGTGTTCTTATAAATTGGGTTGTCATAGTTAAAATACTTTATTTTATGATAATTATAATTATATAAAGGTTGTTGCAGTATTTTGAAATTTAAAGGCTGTTAGACTTAAGTATACTTTGTTATGTAGATGTATGTTTAAAGTTTGTGAAGTATTATGTTAAAAATATAGGTTTTGGTTCTTGAGTTTTATTTTCTCTTTTTTTATTTAGACTAAATATAATATTGAGGTGTGATTTTTTTTTCTTAAAGGGAAAATACAAACTTGCTACAGAAATCAAAGAAAAAGAAATTGAAGGATTGAAGGAAACATTAAAAACATTGCAGGTAGAGTAACTTACTGTTTAAAAATAAATTTTCTATTAGCATTTTGTCAATAAAACACCATTCAACATGACTAACAAAGCTAATAATATTTATATTACATTATAATTTTATATAATACTTTTGCTTGGGTACTATAATTTGAATTTTTGTTTGATAAATATAATATATTAAATAGTATCTATATTTATTAAATAGAATACACATATTCATATAGTGTATGCATATTAAAGTAGCCTTCATTATTTGTTACTGTAATATAGGTGTCTTAGTTGATGTTTTATTGCTGTGAAGAGACACCATGATCAAGGCAGCTCTTATAAATGAAATCATTTAATTGGAGGTTTATTTACAGTTTTAGAGGTTAGTCTGTTATCATGTTGGAGAACATGGCAGCACAAAAGCAGATATGGTGTTGGAGAGGTAGTTGAGAGTCGTCCTCCTGATTCAAAGGCGGAGAGATTGAGACTAGGTTTGGCTTGGGCTTTTGAAACCTGAAAGCTCCACTCCCAGTGACACAATTCCTCCAACAAAGCCACACCTACTCCAACAAGGCCACACCTCCTAATCCTCCTAAAATAGTGCTACCTTCTGATGACTAAGCATTTGAGCCTATGGGAGTCATTCTATTCAAACCACCACAATAGGTAAATAGCTGTAGTTTTTAACTTTTCATGTGTGAGGAAAACAAGTAAGGCTTATATGTTACAATTTATCTGTGGTCCTTAAAAATTAATATTCTAGCACTTGGGAGACAGAGGAAGGCTGAGTTTGAGACCAGTCTAGTCTACATAGTGAGTTTTAAGACAGCTGTGGCTACGTAATGGAGAGACCCTGTCTCAAAAAACAAAAAACAAAAAACAAAAAAACCAAAATTCTAGCATTAACTGAATGTTTGCTACATGTTATAAGTGTTACAGCTCTGAAGAAAAAGTTATCCTGGCTGTCAGAAGCCAGGCAATACCTACAGCTCTGAAGGAAAAGTAAGCCAGGCTATACCTATAGCTGGTCCCAGTTGGGGGTGGTGGTGGTGGTGAAAGTCTTCACCCGAAACTCATTCAAGAGATTTAATGGGAAGGACAAATCCAGGAGAGTGGCTGCCTCTGCCAGGTTGGAAAAAGGCAGCTCCCACTGAACAGGCACAGGGCTTGTATAGGACTCCTTAGGAGCTGAGCTGAGTTTTTCCAGGATGAAGATTTTCAGGGTGGAAATTGGTCGGATTTCAATCCCAGAGCTTGGACAAGCTCAGAGATTGGCTCAATTTTGTGCTCAGGGATTGATTGGTTTTTGTGCTGAGACAGAAAACCTCAGGTCAGGGGCAGAGTGTGTTTCCTTGGCTCTGGTTTCAGGGCCAAAGTGTGTTTCTTTCACTGGCGCTAGTTTCAGGGTCAGGGTGTATTTCTTTGGCTGGCTCTTTATCCTATACATGTGAAGTCCTGATTTTCTACAGGTTTAAAGACTAAGAAATTATAGCCTTTGCCATTAAATTGTTCAGTCTCATACTGGTAATTTATTCAGTATATGCTCATAGAAGGTCTGCTGTGTGTCAAACACTTTTCTTAGTGGGGCAGATAACAGCAGTGAACATAAAAGGGGAAAGATTTCTGCCTTGAGCCTACAAAAAATAAAATGAAGTCAAAACTGAAAGATTATTGCAGAAGATGTTTTCATGATTTCAAAGTATTACCATATAGACAGCATTACAAAGAGCAAATTAGAAGATTAAATATAAAACTGCTAATGTTGATTTCCTTAGGTTTAGTGTTACTGTTGACATAAGGAGCACATATCTGTGTAATTTTTTACAGAAAGTTTATATAAATCTAACACCGAAGAAACAATGAGACACTGTCTAAAAAAAAACACCAAAATTCTAGCATTAACTGAATATTTGTTATTTTTTGCAAATATAAAGACTAGGAAATTATAGTTTTGCCCCTAAATTGTCCTCAGTCTCATAGAAAATACAGAAGATAATCATAATTTGGGATATCCAATAAAACAGCTGACTTAGGATATAAAAATAGTCAATGTGAAGTAATAGTGGCACAAACCTGTAATTTTGGCACTTAGAAGGCCAAGGCAGGAGGGTTATGAGTATGATGTAATCTTGGGCTACATACATACCTTGTATCAAAAGAGAAAAAAATTATTGTTATGAAATAGAGTAGGGGCAGAATGCTTTCATGTAGAGAGAAACTATATGCAATATATGAACCTTGATTGGATCCTGTACCAAGGAAAGACCTGACCATACAAACAACTAAGGTTTCATTTGGGGAGATTTGGATAGGACTATTCTAACTAGTCTAACAACTATAAGAATTACTGTTACTATTTATATGGGTATAATTGGTATTAGAGTTATATAAAATAAAGTCTTTGTTCTTAGAAAATGCTTGAAGTATTAGGGGTGAAGTTTTATGATTAAAAATATGAAATATTGTTCAGAGGAATTAAATAAAGGATGAGATATGACATGATTATTGATTATGAGTCGGTATTTTTAAGACTTTGTTTTTTGTGTTTTGGTGAACTACTTTTTTCTTGCCTGTATTTCTTTATCATCACTGGAATTTTTAACTAAAATTTCCTCTAATTCATTCTTCATTTTAATTAGCAAATTTTTTGTTGTTGTTGTTTTTTCAGAGACAGGGTTTCTTTGTGTAGCTTTGGAGCCTATCCTGGCACTCGCTCTGGAGACCAGGCTGGCCTCGAACTCACAGAGATGGGCTTGCCTCTGCCTCCCGAGTGCTGGGATTAAAGGCGTGCGCCACCAAAGCCCGGCTAATTAGTAAATTTTGTTCTTTCATGATTTCATATGTGTGCTTATATATCCTGGTCCTGTTCTCTCCTACCCTCTCTTAGTTCCCTCCTACCCCAACCAATACTCTCCAATAAGTATCTTCCTATTTGCTAGTTTTGCTTTTGTTTAATGTCCCACAGAATTTAACTCAGGGCTGGTTATGTCAATCTGAGTTTTGAACTGACCATCAGAGCCTAGTAAGCTCACCAATGTTTACCCACCTGTATATAGTTCCCCTCTTCTCCTAAAATCTGTCAGTTGTCAGCAGATCAGCAGTATATGGCAGGACCCTGTGAGTTCATCTCCTGCTCCAAAGCTATTGTAGGGAGAGCCTGACTCTGTGATCTAGTGCTAATGTGCACAGCTGCTGAGTTTGTAATTGCTTTACAGGGTTCTGCTTACAAGATGGGATTTCACATGAACCCACAAATGCTAAAGACCTGATCTCTGTCTCCAAAAATCTAGGAAGAATTGAGGAGCCTTCACAGGCAAGGTTTCTTAACTGACCATTTGCTCCCTAGGGCACATCTTGCAGTGCCTAGAGCAGTGATTCTCAACTTTCCTAATGCTGGGACCCTTTAATACAGTTCTTTATGTTGTGGTGACCCCAACCATAAAATTTTTTTGTTGCTACTTCATAAATGTAATTTATAAATAATGAATCCTAATGTAAATATTTTTGGAGATATGTAGCTGGGTCCTAACAGCTCCCTTGGGGCAGGGGTAAGAAGGTGTGGTGTCAATAGAAGAGGAGACGCCATGTCAGTCAGAGGACATGTCAACTCAGGGCAGATGCTCCAAATTTTTGAAATCTTACACATCAAAGACAGCATAAACTTTAATGTTCACTAAGATTGTCTTTGGAATACCAGCTTGTGGTGTATGAACAGATTCATATTTTGTTAACCCTCCATGTCATTTCTCACCACTTACATAATGGGGTTCATTGTGACTCCATTTTATATCACATTAACTTTTCTTATTCCTCTTCCTCCTCCTTCTTCATTTTTCTTTTTCTCTCCCTCCCCCATTTCTTCCCCTTGCTTGCAAAGTTGAATCTGGGGCCAGGAGTTCTAATTGTAACCTCAGACTGGGATTCCAGATGGTGCTCTCTGAACTGGAAGCACCACTCCCCTTCCTCCTTTGCTTCCTGGTTACTTAGTTTTCCTCCTCTCTCGTCCTTTCATTATGTAATACTTTATCAGGTGCTGGGTACCAAGAATAATTGGATAGTACCTTTCATTGTGGAGCTCATAGCCAAAGGGCTTCTAACCACTGAATTATAAAACAAATAGAATCAGAAAACCATACATCCAAAATGAGAAAGAAATTATTTTTGTTGTGATAGATTAATTACATGTATTCCCTTTCTGTATAAGCATAGTGCCTAGTTGATTTTAAAGGGAGGGTTTACTTAACAAATGACTTTCCTTAAGAAAACAATATATCTAAAGGGCTAGATAACTTTTCTGATGTTTGTATATTACATATAAACTTATTATATAATGTGGCAAGACACACTCTTTTTGAACTTCTGGTTTCCTTTAAGTAAAATGAGGAAGTTGAATCATAAGTAATTCTCACAAAAGATCACATCTATAGAGTAATAAAGTATGTCCATTATCTACTCTGTAATAGGATTGAACAAGAAGAGGAGTCAGCTTCATTGACTCTCCAGAAGCATGATGAGTAGACTGTGATAAAAATGGATAGGGACTAAAGAAATAGATGGCCTCTATTGTGCTCTCTCTCTCTCTCTCTCTCTCTCTCTCTCTCTCTCTCTCTCTCTCTCTCCTTAACTTTAAACTTACTTTTCTGATAGACTATAAGACACTATTGACTCTTGCAGATCTGAAGGCATATTTAATACTTTCTTTTTCTACTATTGAAGCTTAATAGTCTTAGACATCAACCAATCACATTGATGAAAGAGAACAGAATTCTTGGAGCTGTATGTGTCTATATCGATCCATGAATAAGTCTTAGCCATTTGAATAATGTTTTCATCAGGAGGACAGAAGACATGTAACACAAAAGGTCCTGGTAGAAGTAAAGGTGGAAAACATCCTCATCAACAAATGATACCAGAACAACTGGGCATTCATGTGAAAAAATGGTTCTAGAAACAGACACACAGTTGTCACAAAAATAACTTTAAATGGATCACAGACCAAAATGTAAAATACAAAACTATAGT